TTTTTGGCATATAAATTACCTTTCAAGGTAAAATTTTCTCCCATTTGTCGTAAGAGTTCTCTGTTATTTTCTTTTTTCAAATTATGTAGTGGTGGGAAATATTCTGCTCCGACTGCGAAACTGTATATATTTGTTTTTATGTTAACTGCTGTTACCTGTATTTCTTCTGTTCCTATTTTCTTTTTGACATAATAGTTAACATTTTTTTTTATTATTACGGCACTTCCACCTCAAGCGGTATCTGAGGGATATGGACTTTGTCACTTAAAATTTTATATAGCTTTGTTTTGTTAAATGCGCTTCTGATATTAGACAGATATCTATATTTTGTTTTATTAGGAACACCTCTAGCTCTTCTCGATGGTCAAGGAGTCCATTGGCATTCCACGTTACAATGATTACACTCCATTAAGGGTTTCTAGACGTTTGGGAGAAGGTGGCCTACTCCAATCTGGTAATTCTGTCTAGAATTGTATTAAGCATAGTCATTATTTGGTTCGTTAAAGATTCGTTTTCAGTTTTATTAGGACTGTTATTACTTTCCACGTTTGAGTATGTCAAATTTGCCATTCTTTGTGCATTATTAGTTATAGGTTGTCTAGTTTCGGTAATATTTCTATTGTGGTTAGTTTTGCTTACCTGGTCTCTTCTGTATTGTATCTCTTTGGCCACTTCGCATCCTCTATAGCTTTCTAGAGGTACTTGATTGCATTTTGCGTATTTTGATGGTATACTTGCCGGCTTATCATACTCTCCTGTAAGATGGCTTTTCGCGCATTTAACATACACTGGTTGCCTATTACAAAAATATTTTATATGCTCATATCTTTGGCACCGTATCAATTTTGGACTTCTCACTGGCTCAATTTGGATTATTAAGTTTTGTAATGTCTTAATTTCGTAAATCCTTTTAATGTCTTTACCTGTTTCAAATGTTAAGATTAAAAAGTGGCAATGACTTTTTCATGGCAGTTCTTGTAACTTGATTTCCTCTTTATCCTTCTTCAGTTTCTCTTCTTTGGATATTAACCACATCCAAGATTGGCTTGCAGGTAGGATGTAGTTTTCTAGCCATTATTTTAATTGGTCTGGTTTGTTTCATCTCATATGAATGCCATTGATAGCCTTGGTTTGAGAGATCTGTTGTCTCTGTTCTATATTCTTGTTCATCTTTTAAGTTTAATTTGATTTCATTGTTATTTAATATGGTATCTACAAAATTGTGTTGCTTACTTATTAGTTTACTATTATTTACTATTACTAGTTACTATTATTGGTGGTGGGAATTTTTGTTTTAGTTGTTCTTTTTGTGCAATTTATCACCAATACATACAAACACATTTAAACCAATTTAAATGCATTTCAACAAATTTAAACACATTTAAACACCTTTTCAGAAGTTTTATAGATTTCTGCTTAAAGTTATCATAGTACTCAATTGACTAATTGTTGGTTTAATTAAATTTATTTTTCTTTTTTGTTCTATGATTTTCATAAACCTAATTAGAGAAAACTATCCTATTTCACCAACAAAAATGTAGAATAATAAATCTTACATCAAACGGAAAAAAACATTTTTTGATGTCTTACCATTAACTTCAAAACTAATTAAAATGCATATGTCGTAATTTTATAGTGAAATTCGTCTTCTCATGAAGATCCTAGTCACATCATAAAGTGTCGGCATATTATGTAAAATCATGAAGCTACACAATCTGCCGAGGCTCTTGAATGTAAAAAAAAACATGATTAAGTCTCTGTATGCACATAAAAAAAATTAACAATTTACTTAGGTACTATTAGTGTAGAAACTAACCTCTTTGAAAGAAACTTAAGTTTCTCTGCTTCATTTGCTATTTGAGTAGCATATGAATATGGTGAGTAAGTAGTGACAGAATTGATTGATACTTCTCTCGTCGAAATTTACTAACAATGCATTTTGCTTTAAAATTTTCCCCCCTGAGGTGTTAATTAAAAATATTCATTATTAAATTGATCAGAGCCTTAAAAATTAGTCGGGTGGCTACTTGTTGAATTCCTACATTTTGGGACCATTTATTTATTTTTTTCCATACCAAGAAAACGAAACCTACAATAAACTTTACAAAGATGTGATATTAAAATAAAGCCACAGATCTGAACTATTTTTATTTATATCAATAAGTAATTAAACTTTACTGTATTTATTATTAGACGAACTCTCTTAAATTACTTTTTCTACAAGAAAATAAGAAAGTTTAATAGCAATAATTAGGTTGTGTTTGTACTTACTTATGATATAATCTTAAAGAAACCTTTTCGATGGGTCTTTTATCCATAAAGCATATTTTCAACATATTATTAGAGATAATAAAACTTAAAATTACATTTAATTTTAAATCAAAAACCATTGGTAAAATTTGAATTTTCTATTACTATTTCCGTTTTTGCTCTTAGATTTTGTAATATATTATTTTAATCATTTTACAGATATTATTAATTTTAGTATTACCTTATTAAATAATTTATTAATTTTTAATTAATTTTTCAGTACATTCTTTTATATTTGTTATAAATTTTACTTGTCTTTGCCGAAAAGAATACAAAACTGCTTATACACTAATCCACTTTCAAAGCTTAGCCTTTAATGGAATTATCAATTTTATTTTCCCCTGTTTTATTAATATATTGTATTAGCTCAATAGAAAATGTATTTTAAACAATTCAATGTTCTTTTTTATGGTAAATAAAAAAGGAAAAACTCTTACTACGTTATAAATAATTATATTTTTTTGAAATACAAACCAAAAATTGACATATGTCAGAACTCTCGCTGTCAAACTTGGCTGATTGAATAATCAAATAAAAATCGAACGATTTCCTTCCTTGGAAGGAGAAGTTGTTGATTACAAAATTAGTCTCGTGAAAGGGGGAACACTCTCTCTAGGGTAGTAATTGCTCGGAAAAGATAACGACCATTTGATTTTTTATTTCAGTACTTTTCAGGTTATGTTACCTATGTTGTGGCATGGTGCGTAGTTAACCAGGTGATTCCACTCATATTATGTGAATTATTGGGTAATTTGGCATTTGTATTACCTACCAGTTGTCTAATGTCAAAATCAGTGGCGGTTTGCCGTAAGGGCACTTGGGCACGTGCCCTAGTATAATAAACAAAAAAAATAACTTACATATTTTATATTTTCCTCAATGCCTATTATTATTTTATCTAATATTCAGCGCAAACCGCGTTGGCACGACACTGGACGACCGGGCGTTGAGCGACGTTCCGAGAATTTCGAATTAAGTGGGCACAGGACACAGTAAATGTGTGCCTCTGTTGTTTTCTCTTTCATTATGATGCGAAAAACCAGGACAACGACAATATCGCTTAGCAAGAAATGAACACATGCGATGGATTATACGTCGGCGGGGCGCTGTCCTTATCGTGACGTGTTGTACCCATGGCACAGATTACCTAGACCAGATACGAATGTACACAGCGGCATCTTTACCGGCTCCTTCACAATGGCGATGCTGGTTTCGGCTTAAGGTGCGCATTTGTTGGACCATGATAATAATTTATTTATTGTGATTACGAAAAAATGGAAATTTTTCGCTGGAAGATTTTAAATTGCCAAACACTCTTTTTTCAGAGTCGTATGCTTTAAAATGCTCCTACACGATGGAATTTTACATCGAAGTGTGTCAATACTATTTATGTTTATAAAGAGGATTTGATTAAATGTCTCAAAGAAATTATGAACACAGAATTCTATAAAAAAACTATTAATCAGACTAAAGGGTTGATAAATTTTGAAAGACAGATTTTAGTTTCGGGTTATTTTTCTTCAGCAAAATAATGCCAAATTGCGATATACTTTTTGATCAACGGCAGAGTAGACAGATCGATGCTCTCAAGATTGAGATAAACATATCAAATTTTGCAGCAGCTATTCAAAATATTAGAAATAATACACACACGCTAATTCATGAAGAATGGCAATTACAACAAGACCCACAAGAACTAAACTTAAACGACAACACCCAATCAGGTTCAAGTACAAGCAAGAAGAGACGGTTTGTTGAAAAGGAGGACCCCATTCCTAATTTAAGGATATGTAAGGAAATGTGTGATACAATAGTAGTGCAGGTAAATGAACGTTTTAGTTTTACTACCCATCTAACAATTGCAAGTTTATTTGATAATGAAAAATTTAAATACTACCGAGGTTGTTTTCCAAATGAGGACGTTAAAACTGTGTGTAGTTTATTTCGAAACGTAAACAGCTTAAAATTCAAAAATTACACCCGAGATGACTGTGCAACACATTGGGGCCGTACCGTTATTACAAATGTTTTTTGAGAACAATTTGACAGTTACATTTTCGGAATCTGTGGAGCTGCTAACTATCCTGTGTACAATTCCCATGACCACAGTGGAGAGTGAAAGATGTTTTTCGACACTAAAACGTATTAAAACATTTTTAAGGAACACTATGTGCCAAGATAGATTGTGCGCGTTAGGCCATGTTATCCATCGAAAAAAAAACTTATTCGGTCCATTTCAAATTTTAATAATCTGGTCATCGATCACTTCGCTAGCCAAAAATCCAGAAGAATGGACTTCAACTATAAGAAATAGTATACAACTGCAGAGGTACCTAGCAGTTAGTCTTCAATTTTGTAATATTTAATTTGTTTTGAAATATATTTAATTTTCATTAAGTGGAGAATTCTGGGATTCCTTTCCAGTGTGTGCCCCACTGCCGCTAGTGCCCACGAGCCGCCACTGGTGAAAATTGATATTTCTTATGATTTACTAGCCCAAAAATAAGAATCCCTAAAAATATTGCAAACAATTTTTATTTGAGTTTTTTTAGCAAATTATTAATATTTAGAAGTCTTGAAGCTACGGTTAAATTATAATATTTAAACTTCCTGTATAACAATTTTGGGAATTTTTAAGAAACATGTAAAACATATATTTAAATTTTTGATCTAGGTTTGTTTTGTTGCAGCTCTTCCAACGGAGAACCCAGTCATCACGGGGGTTGAACAAGAGTACCAAATTGGCGACGAGATCAATCTAAATTGTACATCGGGAAGGAGTCATCCTGCTTCCATACTACATTGGTATATAAATGAACAACAGGTATAAAAAATATATTATTTATTATTATAATTATTTGACATAATAGGTTTTTGTAAAAATGTTTAGAGAAATTGATATCTCTTAAATCTTTTAAAAGGTTCCTTACTACTTTAAGGATGGCTGATGGGATTGAACATTACTTTGTTTTTATACACTTATCGCTTTTGTAGTCAAACTAAATACTATTGAAAGGTGGCGAAATTTCCAACAAGAAAATATCCGGCTGCTGCGCGAAAGCGTTTGAAAAATTAAGGCTGCCGGGATTTTGTAAGCGCGCAAATTTCGGTGAAAGTTAGAGGGGTGCGCTTTCATATAATCTTTGTGTTATTCATTTTTCTGTAATTTTTATAAATAGATAGTTTAACTGTTACTTTCTCATTTTTCATTGTTTTTATTTTTTATTATATTAAAAACGTCCCTAAATCTAAAGCAGAGGGCAATGTAATTAATTTTCAATAGAAGCCCTACAGGGTTTTTTGTCATTTATTATTACAAAATTATTAGACTTTTCTTAAATACACAATGATTTTTTAAAACGGTTTACGGAAAAAAAAATAAAAATAAATATTTACCTCAATTTCATCAACCCAAGACTGCCACTTTTTACAGACCCATCTGGGCATTGTTGAAAATTGGTATAATGGGATCAAACTGTGTTAATCAATGTGTCTAAATGTAAAGTCTGTTTAAATACTAGAAATATTAAAAAAGTGGAGTTTGATTATTTATTTGACGACATACCTTTATTAGCGTGTGCACAAATTAAAAATTTAGAACAAAAAGTTAATTTTCGCATTATATTGCTTCTGCATTGAAAAGTTTAAAGTTTTTAATTCGTAATACTCGTTCTTTTATAAACTCTCAAAGCTTAGAAATCCTTTACTTTTCTTTCGTTCGTTTCAAGTTAGAAAATGCATCTCTTATCTGAAATCTTAGACGAGTTCTCAAGTACCTTTCTTTTAAAATAAATGAGCCATGAAAACCACACTGATCAGACCCATGGAAGTCATTCATGATGTAGGATCTGGTCAGGCGAGACATCACTTGTGGTAGGAGGCTCTCGATACGGTCCCATTACTTCAAGCGAAAATTGACTTCATCCTATCGAGATATATCTTCCCTAAGCCCTATAAAGAACAAATAGAAGAGCCGAAAGTGGCAGGTACGATTCATATCTACACCGACGGTTCTAAAACAGAACAAGGCTCAGGATGTGGAATATACTCCTGATCCTTAATCCTAAACATAAAATGGGCTGTAAGTAAAAGTGGCAGTGTAGTTCAAACAGAGCTCAAAGGGATTCTCATAGCAGCAAAGAAATCACCAGAAACAATATCACTGGAGGGAACATGCTCATCTATACAGATAGCAGTCAAGCACTACTCATCCTGAACAGACGACAAATTTACTTAGGGTTAGTTCTAGAATATCACGAAGTTTTGGCCGAAGTACCTATCAACAATGATGGATCAAAGGTCATGCCACATTGAAAGGTAACTATCTTGCTGATTCACTGGCCAAGAAAGCAGCCAACTAAATATTTTGTGAACCTGGTCCTTCTATTGTCCTGACAAAATCGGTAGTGACAGACCTAATTAAAGAAAATTCCCTTGTGAAATTTAGGGAAAGATGGGATGAAATAAGAAACTGCATAGTTGCCAGAAAGCTTTTAAGTTATCCTGACAACGCCACAGTAAATAAATACTTGACTTTGACTAGACAGAATCTACGATTGGTGATAGGCATTCTGACTGTACATGGCCAAGTAATGAAGTATCTTCATATCATATGGTTGTTAGAATCCGCACTCTGCATGGGGTGCTAACAAGAAAAGATGAGACCATCGAGCATATATCCTCTACGATTGCCCAATGCTCTTATTTATTAGATTTTTGTTCGACGAGTAAATATTTTGCATCGTTTAGGCATTCATAATCAAATATATTTTATAAAATACATGTAGGTGGAATTCTGCGAAAATAGAAATAGAGGTTCTTTTTTGGAAGTTACTGAATGCTTAAAATTAAGACGAAAGTAATAATATTCGATTATGGATTTCCAAGCGATGCAGAACTTTTTATCAAAACTATATTATTATTATTTTTTTTTTTTGAAAACCAAAACGGTTTTGGGCGGCAGCCGAGTATTTTCTATTTGGAAATTTGGAGACCTTTCCAACAGTCTTGAGTTTAACTACAAAAGCGATGAGTTGCAAAATATGTTACCAGGCATTTCCATAAAAATTTAGGCATATTAGTGATCAGGATCTTCAGCTTTTTGTCATTACCTACATTTCGTTTTCGTCACTGACTATTTTTACAATTTCATTCAGTCTAGTTTTCTTTGTCTTTTTTCTATATTATTCTCTTGTACAGCTTGTATTAAAATTGCACATACCAAAACCATAACGTTTTTGTTATGAGCTTTAAAGGAAATTGTTGTTTTTTTGGATCTTTTAGAATACTCCTACCTACTTTTATTTTCATATTTTATTCATTAAGTTTTTTACAATTTATTGCACACCAGTTCTTTATCATTCTTCTAACTTATCCTTTTGTACAGATTAAATTAGAATTGCAGATTATTAATTTTATTACAGATCCAGAAACCAGAAGCCCTGCTTATTTACCCCGAAGAATACCATCAGCATGGCTTGGTATCTTCAGTTCTAGGCCTAAAATTTCGATTGAGCAACCATCATTTCAGAGGTGGTTCCATGAGGGTTAAATGCGTGGCTTCGATGACTCCAGTGCTCTACCAGACTGACAGAGAAAGTATAGTGCAGACGCAGACACTGCCATTAAGGGAAGCCCTTCTATTAGGTAAGATTTTAAGTAATTTAAGTTACACTTTGGCCAGTCCATAATCACGTCTGTTATTGTTAAAATTTAACAAAGTTTTTCTTTTCAGTTAAAAGTTCTTCAAGTAGAAACCATGGGCACGCGATCATCTTTCTCTTCTTAGTGGCGCATTTGTTGACGTGAGTGTTTGAAATCTTGTAAATAAAGTGACTAAAGACTTCGAATTACATAAAAATAAGTTGTGAAAAATATTGATGTCGCCTTTCAACAGAACTGCTATTTTTAGTGTTTACTTCGACTGTGATAACCTACAAACTAAAATAATGAACTGTTGAAATTTACAGAAAAACTTTGACACTGTGGTGGTATGTAAATGAGGTTTATCTTGCAAAAATTTGGTAATTATATTTTATTTTAAAAATTGGTGCGGTCAGCAATGAATTTGGTAACAATACTAATAAACAAAAGCAATAAATGCTATTTATTTGATGACTTTTTTTTTTCATATCTACAGGTTCAGTCAATCTAAAAATGTAAAAAATATTTACAATTTAATAATTATGAATCTTTCGTAAATATTTACCTGCCAGTTGATATTAATTTGCATCTACAATATCATTCATAAAATTTCAGAACAACAAGGGTCCAGGACTCGACCCATGAGTTAACAAGTAACCAATTGATCTGGTTTTTTGTGAGATGATCCTTTATTATTTTTGGTTATTAGTTTTAACAAAACCTTATTATTATTACTACGTGACTTGATTCTTATAAAAATAGATGTCGCTTTAGTAACAAAATTGTGGCCATAGTTATTGGGAACCGTTGTTATAAATACTAGACTGCCGCTTTAAATCAAGATCGTTCCCATAATAACAGGTTTATTACCATAGTACCTGGACTGTTGCTTCATTAATTAGACTGTCATAAAAATAGATTGTTAACATAGTATCAGGGTAGCTGCTATGGTAACAAGCCTATCACTATGGTAAGAATATCGTTGTTATTGTAACAGGATTGTTGTTACAGTAAGAAGATTATTTCTATAGTAACATAAACGTCGTTTAAGTAACAATATCGTTACTATATTTCCATTACTGTTACTATATTAACATGATTTTTACTATAAAAACATTATTGCTATTATAACAATATTGTTGTTATAGTAATATTATAATTGTTATAGTTACCTTATCATTGAGGTAGTAACAGGACTATCGCTATACTAACAAACTTATTATCATAGTACCTACCTGGGCTGTGAATATCAAAATAGATCGTCTCTTTAGGAAGTAGGGAATCCTACCTAGACATCAGAATTATTTTTAAATAATGAAATTTAATAAAAAAATTCTGACAGCGGTGGGATTCGGACCGCGGACCCTAGGATTTGCAAGCCCAGACTCTAATCACTAAGCCACTCATCCTCCACATTAATGTTGCTATAGTAATATGACCATCATTGTAGTAACAATATCATTGTGTTAGCAACAGTATTGTTTTTATAGTAACATGATTTTTACTATAGTAGCATAATTATTGCAATACAGTATTATAATTATTGCAATATAGTAATATTATTGTTGGTAAATTAACATTGTTACTAAAGTAACATGATTGTTGCTATAGAAACGATTATCGTTATAGTAATCATTATAGCTATATTAACATTAATATTTCTATAGTAATAGCATTGTTCTTAAAGTAACAACATTTCTGCTATAAAATTATAGTTACCTAATCATTGTTGCCGTAACAGGATTATCGCTAAAATAGCAAGATTATTGGCATAGTACTTGGACTATGACTATAAAAATCTATCGTCGATGTATTATCTTCATTATTTATTGTAAATATTACGAATTCAAAACGTTGGAATTTTTGTAAGATAATATTCATATACAGACTGATGAAATAAAAAAAATATTTTTAAGTTTATGATCGTGTAAACCCTGTTTTCTGTTTAAAGTGCACCGGATCGAGTGCCATTGTCTGTCAAAATGTTTAAGTTTGTTGTGTACAAAATAATAATTAAATGATATCACTCCTCTGTACAGAAAGATATTTAAATACATTCTAGCATTTATGTCCATATGTTTTCGAAATAAATTTTTTGTCTGAATTTTTGTTTTATTTTAAATTACAGAAAAAATTAAAAGATATACGATGCTTTTTATTGTTAAAGAGAATAATAATGACGAATTTTACGCGACAATAAAGCTTTAAATAGGACGGGTACACGTGATCGTCCGGTCAGCATATTATAAAGTTCTAGAGGGCTCTAAAAAAAAAACTAAAAAACATTAAAAAACATTAAAAAACATTAAAAAACATTAAAAAACATTAAAAAACATTAAAAAACATTAAAAAACATTAAAAAACATTAAAAAACATTAAAAAACATTAAAAAACATTAAAAAACATTAAAAAACATTAAAAAACATTAAAAAACATTAAAAAACATTAAAAAACATTAAAAAACATTAAAAAACATTAAAAAACATTAAAAAACATTAAAAAACATTAAAAAACATTAAAAAACATTAAAAAACATTAAAAAACATTAAAAAACATTAAAAAACATTAAAAAACATTAAAAAACATTAAAAAACATTAAAAAACATTAAAAAAACATTAAAAAACATTAAAAAACATTAAAAAACATTAAAAAACATTAAAAAACATTAAAAAACATTAAAAAACATTAAAAAACATTAAAAAACATTAAAAAACATTAAAAAACATTAAAAAACATTAAAAAACATTAAAAAACATTAAAAAACATTAAAAAACATTAAAAAACATTAAAAAACATTAAAAAAACATTAAAAAACATTAAAAAACATTAAAAAACATTAAAAAACATTAAAAAATTAAAAAACATTAAAAAACATTAAAAAACATTAAAAAACATTAAAAAACATTAAAAAACATTAAAAAAACATTAAAAAACATTAAAAAACATTAAAAAACATTAAAAAACATTAAAAAACATTAAAAAACATTAAAAAACATTAAAAAACATTAAAAAACATTAAAAAACATTAAAAAACATTAAAAAACATTAAAAAACATTAAAAAACATTAAAAAACATTAAAAAACATTAAAAAACATTAAAAAACATTAAAAAACATTAAAAAAACATTAAAAAACATTAAAAAACATTTAAAAAACATTAAAAAACATTAAAAAACATTAAAAAACATTAAAAAACATTAAAAAACATTAAAAAACATTAAAAAACATTAAAAAACATTAAAAAACATTAAAAAACATTAAAAAACATTAAAAAACATTAAAAAACATTAAAAAACATTAAAAAACATTAAAAAACATTAAAAAACATTAAAAAACATTAAAAAACATTAAAAAACATTAAAAAACATTAAAAAACATTAAAAAACATTAAAAAACATTAAAAAACGTTAAAAAACATTAAAAAACAATAAAAAACTAATAAAATTTTTGTAATAATAGTTACATTATTGTTAAATTAATTACGTACCAGTTTACCTGTTTTAGATTGTTTATTAAATTAGAATAATTGTTTAAGCTTTGCTGGAACAAACCTTTTATTTAACACATGTTACAACGTTTAACAGTGAGCATTTTTAAATCATAATATTTTGGGTAAAAATTTCTCCAGTTGACGTATCGACAATTATTAGAAACTAAAAATGTTGCTCCCGTTTACAAGGTATGTACGCTGTATAACTGGACTAAAAAGATCTGTTAAGTTTTGGGATGATTATAAAGATTCCATACACCGCATTAATTTCCCTGAACGTGTCCTTTCTAAAGAATCGAAGGTAAGTAAGTAAATATATTTCTTTCAATAGCGTTTACAATACACTCAGACGACATCGCATCAGAGGAAATGATTACATATTGGTATGGTAGCGAGGAGGAACATCTTTTGTACTGTTCCGATGATTATGTTGGTTCGGTGGACATCATACCACTCGGTTTAATTTAATCGAATTTTTTTGCCGTAAACCGTTTTCTATTGAATCGAAAATTGGCCCTTTCAATTCCTTCGATGCGATCGAATGCGATGTGGGTTTTTCTCATTTATTTAATAGGTCAGCGGGCCCCAGAAAAAAAGCGAAGATCTCTGGAGATAGCCCGTGTTTACGGGGTCAATAAGAATTACATTTTATTGTTAACAAATCGATTACGAAATGAAAATGTGACATTTATTTGCGCACGCTCAGGAGATCAAAATTTTACCCTTAAGTCTGTTTCGATATACAGGGTGAACCTTCGATAACGCCTCGGTCTGTAGAGCCAAAATTTTTTTTTAAATATGTTTTGACAGCAAGACGTATATCAGAAATTGCAACAATTTTAAAATAATATCGATTACCAAGAAAGTGATAAATAAATCAAAGTTAGGTTTTTTTTTAATGGCAGATCCTGTATTTTATTTTATATTTGAATTGCCCTCGTTTTTTCCATTATAACAATACCAAATATTATGAGATTATAAAATGTATTTCACACGCTCTAACCAGTTTTATACGAAAATCGTATTGATTTCAATTACCTGTATAGTATAGTGCAAAAGAAACAATTAAGAACCATAAATACTGGAAATTTATTTAATCGTGTTTACTACATGAATTGAATATATTTAGGTAGGAAATAAATATATTTCTACTACAATTTTTAATAAAGTAGTTTTTTGTTATACTTAGAAGTTCACACTATGTGTAAATCCTTATTATCTATATATTAGTCCATGCAACGTGGCCTAACCAATTTCTGTATTTATTTCAGTTTAATCATGTCCAAACCCAAGACAAGAGAATTCAGAATAAATAGATCAGAACATGGATTCTTAAATGTGCGAACTTAACACGTTACGTGTTGAATAGATAAAGACATTATATAAGAATGGCAGCCTGTGGATGAAGATAGGTGTCTCAACATAATATGCTGTATTAAAAGATGAGAATCCACTGCAGGTCAGGATACTACGGCAATTTTATGTGCTGGCGACTAAAAATTGTAGTTACTTTTTAGGTACAAACGTAAAAAGATGAATATTATAATATTAAAGTTATCATAGTTTTAAATAGCAGTGGCATATTCATATATTCTCTTTTGGCGTTTTCTGAATGTTTTCTTTTTTAGAGCTTGACATACTTCCTTATATTTATGAATATTAAATGGTACTAAAATATCCAACAGTTTATTTAAAATTATGGGACAAAATATTCTTGACAAATAAAGTGAAAGCAATGGTTTTTTAAATTACTGTGAGTGACTTAAGTGATTTTTTTTACTATTTTGTGAAACCATAGAATTTTTCTTTTTATTTCAGTATTTTGTGAGTGATTTTAATGATAATTTTTTAGATTTTTTGTGTCACTGCTGCAATAAAAAATGTGTTCTCTATGTACATTTACTTAATACCTTCTGTTTAATGACATTACCTTTACAAAATATAAATTTGTAGTAAATGAGTTTGTAACATTGTGCCTAAATCGATATTTTTCGCAATTTTGCAAAAAATATCGAGTTTGTGTACAAAGTTACAAATTTTTATTGCTAAGATTTTCAATGCTGCCGCCTAAATTTAAATTAAAGAAAATCTGCATTACCGGTAAATATCTAGTTCGCGCTCGTTGCCAAGCGCATCGCCACAGTCAACGCGCTTCCAGAAATTTGTATTAGAATTGTCACTCTGTTAATATCTTCTCTCTGACCAAGATTAATCAAAATATAAGTGACCTATTCTTCGCTGTGTGTTAGATCAAAATCAATATAACTTTCTCTGACACAAAGCATATAGACGACAAATGACATTTGAATAAGCGGTGATTGTGTCGAAATAACGAAATAACGGTTCCAATCGTTACACCATATAAACTGGTCGGAGTTGTTATTCCTCAAGAGAATAAAAAAAAGTAGTCAAGAAACATACAGTCCTAACAGCTTATTATGGAAATTTTGATTATTTAATAATTTTTTACATCTTTTCTTGGAATGGTACATATGTCAGACTGTGTTTCTTCAACGAAAGGAAGTAGTTTGGCTAACTTAAAATTTGCTAAAAGTTGCAGAGGAATTGGAGCAAAAAATAGAAGAGTTAGGAATAGAAATTAAAGAAATACCTTTGTATTAATAAACAAAACAAAATAATAGAAAAATGAAAATTGAATAACTAAAGAAGAAATTAAGAAAGAATATGAAGAAAATTAAAAAACAAATCAAAGAGAATAACAGTAGTCGCAATAGATATAAAAGAATTTAAGAAAAAAGTAAGTATGAAGGTAAAGGAAGACAAGAAGCAAAATGTAAAAACAAGCAGTTGCTTGTTTTTACATTTTTTTTCTAGTTAGAAGAAATAAAGTTACTATCAAACAAGAGTGAAAATATAATGCAGAAGAAAACAAAAACGAAATATAGGCTAGAATTGGGAAAAATAACGAAAAATAGACGATTATCAAAAAAAGAAAGAGTAAGCATCAAAGTCAATAATAACCACATAACACGAACCACATTTCTCCAAAATTCCTCAGATTTTCCCTAGATCTTTTAATGTGGAAATGAAGAAAAAAGATTCTTAAAAAGTATATACCTATTTATTAATAATATTTTTTATCTAAATAAATATCAAACCACTTGGTTTTTTTTTGTCCGCAAAATAAGTCAAAAATAAAAAACGATATCAATGTGAAAATGTCAAGAAAAATCAAGCTCTATAAAGGGACAAAGTCAATGGATTTAAAAAAATATTTGAATGAAAATGGGGCTAAGGTGGGTTGAATTATTTAAAAAAATTCTAACTCAAAAACGAAAAATGATAGCAATATGAAATTTTAAGTAAAAAAACAAGCTCTACAAGGAGAAGATGAATATTATTGATTTTAAAAAAAATATAAATAAATTGGGGGATTGAGAGGGGTTTAAATATTAAAAAATAATCCTAACTCAAAAACACAAAAAGATATCAATTTAAAATTTTTAGCAAAAGTCAAGATCTATAGTGGGAAAATTTTTATTGACTTTAAAAAATTTGTGAACAAAATGGGGGAAGGGGAGGTGGAAAAAAAATGGAAATCAAACATCAAAAGCGATATCAA